AGGACTCCAGAAAGTTGTTGAACCATTGCCGCACAGTGCTTTCTCCAACACTATTGGGCCCCACACCTGGTTAATTTGTCGAGCTGTCTCGACTGCGGATTGACCCAATTTGTAGAAGAAAAATATCGTCCAAAGTTGCTCTTTTGACATGCTTTGAAAAGCCTTAGGAAAAGGCAGTTTCAATCAATGCGGAAACTGCAATATCAGATAGCGCGAGAAATTCTCTTCAGGAAGTACTACTGAGACGCAAGGGAGAATCAGTTTTCAGTCAGCAATGAATGTACAAATTATAGTAACACAAAACGCTGAGAACTTTTCGGACAACCTAATAATTGTACCGTGTGTGGTGATTACTTCTTCATTTGCTGTCTTATGGTGAAAACTTCTCCATGGAAATAATACCACATGAGGCGGAGATGGTGTAGTGACAAGTGGGCGCTTACCACTCGCGCCCGGGTTCGAATCCCGGGTCGACTCCCGCCCAGGCCAACCAAGCCTTCTACCCTCCGGGGACGGTGAATTGGTACCAGATTCGTCTGGGAGGATAAAACACTGACTTGTACATCGGCTGGCCACCGCAAGTCATTGTATAGGCCACATCGCATTCAATAAGCCACTACGATTCTGAATGGAAGTAGAATGCGTGCCGCATCCCACAAAGGGATTGATCAACGGCGAAGACTTTATCCTTTATCCTTTTAACACCACATAGGCTTTGAAGCACACGGTCATCATTTTTCTGGAGCACGCTGAAATAAACGGGTACCCTCAAAATAAAAGCTCTCTAAAGTAACCAGGAATGGAGAATCTGCCTGCTCCTAATGTCATATAATCAAAGAACCAGGTAAATTAGTCGAACAAAATTGTTTTGGGGACTCGTATGGGGTGCCCCAAAAGAAAGCAAAAATTCCTAAGAGTCAAGGATTCCAACATGTTACCTCGTGTTTCTGAACCAGCGCCGCTCACTCACTGTACCACCGGCCGCTTGTCGCCCTCAGTTGAAGTCCCGATCTTGTGCGCTTGTGCGAACACAGCGGAGAATGAATGGTCTGTGTCCCACTCCAGAGTACCGCCCGTTCATTAGTGTGGGCCATACAATGAATTGCGGGGGCCAGCCGATGTACAAGTCAGTGTTTTATCCTCCCAGACAAATCTGGTACCAAGTTCACCGTCCCTGGGAGTAGAAGGCTTGATTTACCTGGGCATGAGGCTGCCCGGGATTCAAACCCTAGCTACCACGAGTGGCAAGCGGGCCTGAAGTCTGGTGAGTTTTTTTGCCTCCCGGCCAACCTATTTGGAGAAACGAGCAGTAGTAAAAGAATCCTAGTATATATAAACCGCTGCGTTTGCCTTTTCCCACACGAAACCCACCCGCAGCCTCAACGGGGAGGGGGAGAACGGTTTGGACTGTTCCAAACCGTACTAATGCGGAGGGTGCCACGTCAGAGCCTGGCGAGCTACGCGTGGTCAAATTTCTTCACGCCGAAAACAGTAATAATTATGGGCTCTCATTCCCTGAACTCGAGAGAACCACCGACACGCGGCGTCGACTGGGACCGCTCGACGAATCTGCACGAACCACAGAGCTTCGAAGATTTAAGTAGATCCGAGGCGACGATCTGTACTTTCAACGCACGGACGCTTGCATCGGAAGCTCACATCGAAGATCTGATGTTGCAAGCCAGGAAGATCAAGTACGACGTCATCGGACTGACCGAGACGAGGAGGCATCGCCCGCTACACGCCGTGTACGAGACTGGAGAAGAACTGTTCCTCGGAACATGCGACAGCAGAGGCGTTGGCGGTGTGGGCGTCCTCGTCAACACGCACTTGGCCATGAATTGTACGAAAATCTGACGACCCGAATCGGACGTTTGCGATTGAGAAGATGTGGTTCAACTCCAGCTTTGACAATCTTCGTCGCCTACGCACCAACATCAAGCTACGACGAGGATGAGCTCGAAGCGTTCTATATGGAAATTGGAGAAGTTCTACAAGGAAAGATCATACCTTCTTCAAGGTCATCGTCGGTGATTTCAACGCTAAGATCGGACCAAGAAGAACGGCTGAAGAACTTCACATCGGAACTCAATGGAACGGAATGAGCAGGGTGAAAGGCTGTCTGAGTTTATCATGTCGACCCATACCATCCATGGTAACTCGCAGTTCCAGAAGCCCTACTCTCTACGCTGGACATGGGAGTCTCCTGGTGGACAATTTTATAATGAGATCGACGACTCATTAGAATCTCCAATCAAGGGATGTCGCTGTTGTTCCTAAGTTACACAGGATCCGACCATCGTCTCCTTCGCGCAAGATTCCGCTTTTCGATGCGAGGAGAGAGAGCCGCAAAGTTCAAGAAGCGAAGCCCCAAAACTGCTTGTACGAACGGTTTGTCGCACATCTTCGCAACTGCGTCAAAAAGTAAGAGGGCTCTGAGATTATCAAGAACATTACAGCGTTTATCTCTGAAAACTCTCGAACGATCCGTTAACGTGGAGTCGCACTAGCCCAGGCAATTACGAGCTGACGTTTGGGCTTGCAGAGCTATGAAGTGGAGCTGTAAAGAAAGACCTCAGTCAGAGAAGGGCAGCAGAACTGGTGGAGGAGCATCCGCAACACCCGCCGCGACTTCGCCAACTGCAAGACCAAGATGACCGCCCTCCGACGTCCGGACGGAACAATCACCGCATCCAGAAGGGCAATGGAGAAGGTCATCCACGACTTCTACTCTGATCTCTTTGACAGCCACGTCCACCTGCCACCATACCGCTTGGAGCAGGATGGATACGTCGTTCCTGCAGTTCTCCCTTTTGAAATCCGACACGCCATCACGTCGATAAAGACTCATACGGCCCCCAGCTCCGAAAGGATCAGACCTCGTGGAAAACCAGCAAGACTGTGTTGCTGTACAAGAAGGGAGACCTGTACGACATTGGCAATTATCGCCCAATCTGCCTGCTGTCTGTAGTCTACAAACTCTTCACACGAGTCATCCTGAACAGGATTGGCAGAACACTAGACGAAGGACAGCCATGCGAGCAAGCAGGGTTTCGAAGAGGATTCAGCACGATCGATCACATCCACACGGTAACGAAGCTCATCGAAGTATCGCGAGAGTACAAGATGCCGCTATGTCTCACGTTCATCGATTTGAAAAAGCCTTCGACTCCGTTGCGACAGAAGTGCATGCCAAAGCCCTGGCCATACAGGTTGTTCCTACTCAGTACATCAGGAATCTTCGTGAGCTCTACAGCAACTTCACGACCAAGATTTCACCATTCTACAAGGAGATCATCATCGACGTGAAGAGAGGGGATCCGGCAGGGCGACACCATCTCGCCTCTTCCACTTTGCTGACGACATCGTTTTGATAACAACATCGGGAAAGCGGAACGAATGCTGGCTGATTTCGACTGCCGGTCGGTGGTAAAAGTCGGTCTACGGCTGAATCTAACGAAGACGATGTTCATGAGAAACGGATTGGTTTCTGATGCCCCATTCACGCTCAACGGAACGACCATCTCTGAATGCTTTAGCTATGTGCACTGGGTCGTGAAATAGGGGAAGAACACCGGGCACTTCACGTTTCAGGGACTAATCGAGGCACCAGCTCGAGGAGCTCGATGGTCAGCGGAAGCACAGGTGATACAGGTGAAAATTGTCTCTTGTTGCGTGCGTGTGTACGTGTGTGTGTAAACTCCTAAATTCCTTTGATTTAGGCGGACAGAGTCCATTTTGATGCATGTTAGGGTGCGACGTGATCATTATTATAGGGTGACAGAAATCGACATTATCTGAGAAGAGCAGGTTAGAGGTTCTCAAATGGCGAGTGTCACCAAAACCGTTGCGTGGGCCACAGCAACAGCGTGACCACTGGCAGATTGTTTGCAGGACTTGAGATCGTCAGGAAAAGGCCTAACAAAGTGGACTGTGAGCGGCGTAACAATAATAAGGAGGCAGATCCAGCGAGCAATGAATTTGCTTGAGCGATGACATAAGTGCTAGCGGTAGGTCAAGCTATAAGGAATGATGATAAGAGTTGGCCTTCGCTTTTACATAAATAGGAATGGAGTGCAACCACCGTAGCTCAAGTATTCGATGCTAGTATTCGATGGTAGTACTCGATGCAGAGGCTCAGTGAGCAAATACGTCCCATTCCTCCACCATGGCGACCAGATCACAGCCGATTCACTCGCCAAAAATTCAGATTTCGACAAAATGTGAACGCTTAATAATTTTTGTCGCAGACTATAAGAGTTGATTGCGAAAGATTATGTGAAGAGCACTGCTGCTCCAGTACTGTGATGTGAAAACATGTCACTTTTACTTCACTATCATTACCATCGAGACGTGTTCGACCACGGGACTGTCCGTGTTTCCAGCGAATTGTAAACTTTCTAACTACAAGAAGTGTGACAAAGCCAGTCATTAGATCACTAATAAGGAGAAATGGGAAGAGAATGTTGATATTCCAGGAACAGGTGTGATGTCAATGTAAGGGTTGGCGCAGGTGCCGGTTATTAGTTGTTTGATATAATCAGGCTGTGCGCGCAGTGGTGCGCGTCAGCCAAGCTGGTACATGATAAGTGACGATGATTCGGAGATTTGCAGCGGTCACTGAGCTCCGCAGACAGTCTCGAAAGAGGGATCAAGGTTTAGCGCGTGGAGAAAGGACTTCAGAGGTTTCTTCAATTTTCATTAAGGAAATACCATCACAGGCAGATAGATGTTCGATCACATCGGCATTGTTCACTTAGATTATGGTACTAAAGGCTAGATATGTGAAGCAAAGATCGCAAATCAGTATGGAGAAAAATGCTCACGTCAGATAAATGTCAACAGCTACACGAGATTTTTGCTTCAGGGAACTTTAATAAGTTTCCTTCTTTCAATGATGGAGACGTTTTACCAGCATATTACTCCCAGTAGAGGCACAAAAGTTTGAGCTTGCCACCTTCGAGCAAGCCATTGCATCCATATTCTTGGGGCGAGAGACATTATCTAAACAAGTGCATGAGTCCAAATTTAAAATCCAAAATATTTCCTTCCTCTATGTCTGTTTTGCAGCGTAGCTTCGTACAACCGTCCGGTTAAACCACATCTCCTATAACTGTCATTACCTTTACATTTACCTACACGTCGATAGGACAAACCTAGGTCTAGGATGACGGCTTAGAATGCTACATCTTGAATATAAAAGCTCTTGAGGAATGCGCTCGAAAGGATGGTGCGTAGTGTTTCCCTTCACCTATGTGCAAACCTAAGTTTGTAACTGGTCGATAAGTTCACTCACTTTATTTTTTCCACGTCCAGCTGCGAGCGCCAATCGCACCTTACTTCTGAGCGGCAGCCTGCTGTTTTTACCAGCGAAAGTCCTTCAAAAGAACAGTAGGTTATGTTCCGGAGAATACTCAACGAAAGGATCCATAAGCGCTTATGTGCCTACCTTTGAGACTCGTATCTAACGTTGACATTGTTGGGTTCTACAACTAGGTCATAGCAAGCTGCATACGAAAATTCGCTGTTCAAGTCCTGCAAGAGAAATTAGCCACTGATCAGCAGGGTAGAGTTTTCACACTAGATCGGTGTCGAAGAGAATAGGCGGAGAACGACGGAGAAAAATTACTAACCAAATTGGCGTTGTACCTTCCATTGAAATCGATATACTCTTCTACTCACTGGTTCATAGGTGGTACATTTTGCGAGTGCTTCAGGATCTGAAAAGCGTTAGTTTGTGCCCATGTGAAGCTCTGCCGGATTGACACTCCTTTTACGCTGATCGCTCTCGAACAGCACTTTTACTGTGCGCTTCTCTTTGATTCAGGCACGTCATTGCGCGTACTCGGCCTATCCAAAGAGACACCTTTTTGGATCGATTTGGACAAAACATGACATGCCAAATTCCTCGAATCATGTTTTATGATTCTTCCTTCTAGCCTACTGTTTTAGAGCCAGTCTGCTGTGACCCCTGACTCCTTTGCTGTTTCCCGGTATAACCTTGAAGACTTCCTTCTATCTCTGCCTCGATTTCCTTTTTTAAAATATTTTCAGCGACTTAACCTTCGTATCATTATGACTAGTTTGCGTGATGCTTGAGCAGGCGTTAGGTCTACATCGCCATCCTACTAATATAATCGGCTATGTCCGTGTGTGTGTGCGTCTGTCTGTCTGTCACGAAATTCATAGCGCCGGTCCCAGTAGCTGTAGGAAGTTGATTCCAAGCAGTGATATAGAGGCTGTGACGGGAACATTATTGGTGGGTGACAGGGAGTGATATCAGCTGATAAGATCCGATAAGAGGCGTCAGAAGGGAAGGGTCACCGAGTCCATAGTGCGGGACACAGCAACAGTGGGAAGTTGATTCCAAGGTATGGTGTAGGGTGTGGGACAGGAACATTATTGATGGGTGACAGGGAGTGATATCAGCTGATAAGATTTGATAGGGGAGTTAGAACGGTAAGGTCACCATACTCATAACGCAGGACACAGCATCAGCTAGGCGTTGATTTCAGAAAATGATGTAGAGTGGGGGATGGGGACATCGACGGCAGGTGACAGGACGTGATAACAGCTGATAGGGCTGATAAGGAACGTTGCCGTTGTTGCTCAGTCAAAGTGATGGAGCCTTTACACTACCAAATTATAGAGTACATTGTTGACGGGTGACAGGCAATCTTATCAATTGATAAGAAAGGATAAGGGCCGTTCTTATTACATCTCTTATCACTATACTGCCAAGTATTGAAGGCTCAGTGTGCAAAAATTTTCTTCAGCCATCCACTTCTATAATAGCGCTAGAAAATGAACTCATCCTACTATATAATGCGGATGTCGACGAGCGGCTGGGGGTGTACTTCGTCTGAAACAGGAATCTCAGGGAAATTCGAGGAGAACCGAAAAACCTGAATAATGTGACACTTCATGCATTCAACTGCACCTTTCACTTCTAAACTTTGAATTGCTGATTAAAACGAATAACAAGGGCTCATAATACATTTTAATAATAGTTAGACTTCAGCGAGCGGATTGCATGCTAATTGAAAAG